GACCGGCATGGCAACAGTAGCCGCGCGTGACCCGCGAGGAGGTCGAGGGAAGGCGAGAGTTCGGCAATCTCCAAGCTCATGTACTGGCGGAGGTAAGACTAGCTCTCGACTCGCTACTGTCGGTGAAGTAATTGACTGTTGGTGACCTATGTATTTAAATTGCAGGTCACGAGGTTTGCGAAGGTGTTAACGCCGGTGACGCTGGCGGCCATACTGCTGTCGCTGGTCGTGTGGAACGAGGACTCGGGACAGGAGAAAGACGTGGAGGCAGTACAGCTCAGCGGGCGGTAAGAGCTTCAAATCTTGCAGGTGGGCATCTAGTGAACGAATTGCATTGGGGACAAGTGGCTAACAGCATACTATTGCTGACGTAGGAGTGAACTGCGGTGGTGGTGGTGGTGATCATGGTGTGCGAGGAGGTGGTGTTCAAGGATGTGAATCTCGAGGAGGTTGTGGAGGGCAGAAGGCACGTCCAGCTACAGACACGGCCACTTCAAAAGGTATGTAGGACCCCGTTGGAGTCAGTAATGAACAATGCCGCGAATAATGCTGTGGTTGTTGATGGTACAGCAAACGAAATGGATGATAGTGAACTTAGCGATGGTGTCAGCAGGGAGGTTGATATTGACCATACTGTCCCTGAATCACCCCAAGCGGGTGTTGCACAAGGAGCGCCTACGACGCCAGCACGAACGCCCCCCATCATGTTGCAAGATGTCTACATCAGCAAGTTGGTGGCATTCTCGCCCAACAAGGAGAAGTGGATGAAAGCTAAGGCTTACCGACCTATTGGTACAGCTTACATTATTGGCCGGGTGTACTGTCAAGTGAAGAAGGACAAGAACGCATCCCTCTTTCAGATTCGCTGGCTAGATAGCCAATTTCATAGCGCCGTTGAGCACATCAGCGTGGGCTTCGTGCAGCTCGGCATCAAAAACTATCTTGCTCTGACTCGAGTGAAGAACCCGGACTGGCGGATTCTTGTGCGCCCTGACCCTGCTGACGTGATTGTGTTCGAGGAGGAAGCATCAGATTGCGAAGAAGAGGTGCTTCACGCTTTTGACCCCACAGACTTGCTTCCAACCAGCTTCGCCGAGGTTGAGGCCATCAAAAACATGCGCTTTATCCCTTCTGGGGTAACTGAGGGGCCCTCCTATCTGTATCAGCACGAGAACGGGTCTACACAAACATACCTGCGTCCTGAATATCGGCATCTGTTCGAGCACTCGGCAAGTTCGAGCTTCTTCGCTTACATTCCCCTATACTTTTGGCGCCAAGTGCTGCACGAGACCAACACGTACGCCGTAGTGAACAACATACGAGTGGCGACACCGTTCACTCTCGAGGAGTTGATGGTTTTCCTGGGCATCCTGTTCTTTATGGCCATGAACGACAAAGGCGAGTACGCCAACTACTGGGGGCTACAAGCCGAAGATTTGATTTTCGGTGGTAATACTACGTCGCTCGATGGTATCATGACCCTCCATCGATTCAAACTGTTGCGCCGGTGTCTAAGCTTCAATGCCGTCCCTAATACCCTCGAGAAGGACGGCGCAGCACGCATCCGGCCACTCTTCAACTTGCTAGAGATTACGGGAGGCCAGTATATTCATGTAGGGAGCAATGTCGCTCTGGATGAGGCCAGCGTTGCCTGCCGGTCGCGCCAAGGCCGTCACATGATTGTGTATAACCCCATGAAGCCGACCGGGAAATATCATTTCCGGCTCTATATGGTGTGCTGCTCTACGTCATGGATCGCGTTGAACTATAAGCTCCACTGTAATCGGAGCGACATCCTGGATCGACTTAGTGGTGTGGTGCATCCATCAGAAGCACAAGACTTAAGGGAAGAGCTGGAGAACGTCTCCAAGATCAGACAGCACGTTCTGGAAGTGACGAG